ACACTCATCTTTGGAAAATGTTTACCTGTTGTATTTTCAGTATCCAGTTAAGACACAAAGCTGACCTCATTTTTATAAAGGGCTAGAGAAAAAGAGGAAAACCCTAAACGAGATGGATTGACTGAAACAATATTGGGCTTAAACATAGGAACAACATGAGGGTGGCAAGGGTCCAGGCAAAGGTTCATGCTGCTATATACAAGGTTGCTATGGGTTGGAACCAACTCGACAGCGGCATTGAGGAATTAGGCGTATTATATGAATGCACTCTTCTCAGTGTTGCCATTTGAATACCTCAATCCAACTGCCTGACGGATTCTTACCAGTTATCTTTTCTGTCAATTATGCTGGCCTATGGATATCTAGGAAATCTTTTAGGAAACTCAGTAAACTTTTAGCCCTATGTATCTTAGGTACATTATTAGAGCTCTTCAGAATCAATAAAGCATTTTCTGGTTGGTTTATTAATTTCCTCACATATTTATCAAAAGTTTGAATCAACCATGCCCCTAGATATTGCCTAGTGTTTCTGAATCCATAAGATGTCTTCAGGACATCTCATTTCCCAAGCATTCTTCCACTGAGGGAAGCAGGAGGGTAACTTGTGGAAGACAGAGTTTATGTTGTTGCTCTTATTATTCTACGAAAATACAGGTAATCGTTGATTCTCTGGATTTTCACTCATTTAACATGTTCCTACGTCCTACTTTGTTTCATGGTTTACTCTGTATTTATTTGGAAGAAAACGTTAAGCTTAGATACTATGCTCAGGCACAAAACTAACTATCCTTAAAAGCGAACCTTACAAAACCCAAATTCCAGGCTGAGAGAGAGAGAGAGAGAGAGAGAGAGAGAGTTAGAGTAAGTCCTGTAGTTAGTAACAAGGAATATTAAAATCATACAGTGCTTAAGATGGGTTTCATTGGGAGAAACGAGGAAATGTTTTTAACAGTACATGTTTACTTCTAAAATACAAAACTTTAACATTGCTTCAGTTAGACTTCAAATGTGCCTATATGTTACACTTCTGTGATAGTTAACGTACATAATCCATTTTGTTAGATGTAAAGACTGAATTTGCTAGGTAGGTTTTTCAAATTCCTAAGAAATCTTTTCAAGTATTTAAAACACTAGTAATAGATGACTAAAAATTCTCATTAAGAAACACCACCTTTTATGGGAAATAAACTTTCCAATCTAAAGCCCTAAACATTTTCCTGAAATGCATGCTTCTTCAGGGAGTTTTTAAAGCAATGAGTGTAGGCAATTTAAAATTATCATGACTCTGTAGCAAGACAGAGACGCACTGTCAGAAGACCCTCACATTTGTGGCTCCCCATATTCCTTGTGGGCTGTGCCAACCCACTCTCTCCCCTGTAATGACTCTTTGTTTTTGCTGAGACCCAAATGGCTGGGGAGAGCTGGGGAAGAGAAGGGGGGAGGGGTGGATGGAATGCAGCTGCAGACTCTGAAACAATGCTGAGACCATACATTTTGTTCCCAGTTAGAATAATAAAGCAGGACTGGACCGGGGGTCAAGGAGAAGAGTGCCAGAATCAGCAAGGTAGGGTCAAACATCTCACCTAGTCTATCAAATCCAAGGCTTCAAACTAGTCCCTCCCGAGTCAGTCATGGTTGATGAAACAAATCTGTAAAATGTACCAGAACGGTAACTGGAACAGAAACAATTACGATCACCGCCCTGCTAGAAACGCAATCTCTCTCCTAAAACAAGGGCACTGCGAGTACTGCATAGCAACCAAATCTCTTGAACAACTAAGTCGGAAGAAAATGTAGCTGGCTCAAAAATGCCGCTGTCTGCCATCCTAGCAATAACCCACATCCGCTCCTGAAAAGGTGGGTGCATGCACCTTCTTCCAAGACTCCTGTTCCAGGGTTTCACCCGATAATTTGCCTTGTTTCAGCTATTGCTATAGTACATTCACATTGTACAAACCCAGGTCTGTTCTAACTTTGCTTCCTTGGCTATGACTACTGGTTTGAATAGCTCTGAAGCCCTGATCAAATCCAATAACCATCCATTTGTGTTAAGCTTATCTGTTAAGAAATCAAATGGCTATTAAGATTTAAACCTCCTAGTTATTTTCCTATGGTACTTTTATCAGTGAAATCTATTTAAGGAGTTGAAGAGACGGAGCAGGTCCGCGCAGTGTTTTGTTCGTATGGGCCGGAACCAAGTCCATGGCACTGAGCAACACATCTAATGAAGGAATGGAGCAAGCAAAGACGAAATGGAGGCGCTCAGACTTGTACGAAGCCTTTTCGGTGTAACAGTTAAGTGCTCAGCCACTAACTGAAAGATTTGTCGTTTGAACTCTCGAGCTACTCTGCAGGAGAAAGACCTGGTGATTTGCTTGGCACCATAGATACAAAAGCACTTGACACAATGGATGGATGAATTGTGATAAGAGTTGCAAGAGCCCCCAATAACATGATTTAAAAACCAACTAACCAAAAGCCCACTGCCATGAGTTGATTCCAACATACAATGAGCCTAGTTAGGATTCTCATCAGGTTGTAAGTCTTTACAGGAGCAGACATCTCCTTTTTTCTCCCACTGATAGGCTGGTGAGTTTGAAACACCAATGCTGTGGCTAGGAAAACCAATGGGGCAGCTCTGTCATATAAAGTTGCTATGAAGTTGGAATCAACTCAACAATACACAACACTAAGATATGTAAGGAAACGATATTGGGGAGAGAAGTCAAAGAACTCAGAGACCCTAAGATTCAAATATACACTGCCTGTTTTTTAATGGTAGAGCCTTGAGCAGTTAACTGCAAAATCCAGTTTGAAACCACCAGCCACTAGGCCAGAAAAAGATAAGACTTTCTACTCCTATAAAGAATTACAGAGTTGGAAATCCACACGGACAGTTTTGCCTTGACCTCCAGGGTCACTCTGAGTCAGGGCCTAGGACAACTGGCATGCCAGAGAAAAGTAGAATCCTTTCTAAGAGTTCTACGACCTACAGGAGCCTGCATCAGTGTTTGGAGGCTGACATATATTAGTGCCCCACCAAGCATTTCCTTTCAATCTAACTACTCCCCAAATGCCCTTCCCTCTAATGTCTCAATTACGAGAAAGGGAGAACAAAGGAAAGAACAGTCTCGGGGGGTAAGGTGACAGTCAGCAAGGAACAAGTAGCACAAACCTTACTCTTTTTCCCAAGGCCTTCTGTCAGAAGACTCACTACAAAAATCCGTGAAGCCCTTCAGGGTGCACCAACTCCAGCCCCTGGAAATTTTCTTTGTATATTATTCGAGCTTTGAGTAACAATTGAAACTAAAACCAGAAGCAAACTCACTGCCATCAAGTCGATTCCAAGTCAGAGTGACCGATAGGACAGAGTAGAACTGCCCCTGTGGGTAAATCTTTACAGAGTAGAAAGCCTCATCTTCCTCCAGTGAACCGGATCGTGATTTTCAACTGTGGACCTTGCAAAGACCACGCCACTAGGCTCCCAAATAATCAACCCTAGCTCCTTATATAAAAGTATCAACACATGCTGAAAACTACCTAAGAAGCAATTTTAAAAGTTAAAGAAACAAACAAAATGTTAGAGAAACACTTCTTTCAATGAAGACCCCAATCCTAATTTTTAAAAAGACTTCATTGCAAAGCTATCAATAAGTAAAGCTCTAACATCCACATACAAACATGCCCTTCAAGTTGGCTTTACATAACAGATTTAGAAATGTTCTTAGCTTGTGTTGAATATGACTCATTTATTGACTCTTGCAATGTTTTAAGTTATAAAATTTAGATTTTATTTATTCTCAACAATATATTTAGATTCTGACATAACTAACCAAAAATCCACAAGTATGTAGACTTACAACAGTTAGCATAAGCTTCCCTCCTAAACTTGCTATATCTCTGTAGCTCTAAAATTGATGGGTAGATTTCTAAAACTCCACCTACAACCACTACAACGATAAAGGAATGCATATTAATTTGAGAAAGCAAGAAAATGGTTGAGCCCACAGTATATTTTATTATTAATAAATATAAATAGTGATAATCAAAATATAATACCACCACTATTCCTATAAAGTTGAGCACTTTTACACTTTTAAATGCAGCAATAAAAAATAGCCATAGAAAATTTTGTTTATCCTCTGTACTGGAAAAAGTCATTCATTAATTTACATATTTCACTTCCTCAAAACTCACTGCCAACAAGTCTATTGGGACTCATAGCAACCCTACAAGACTTGGTAAATCTTTATGAGTAGAAAATCTCATCTTTCTCCCCTGGAAAAGTTGGTGGTTTTGAACTGCTGACCATGAAGTTAGCAGCTCAATGCATCACCCACTACACTACCAGGGCTCCTTTTCACTTCCTAGTGTACCTTTTAAAAAATTAAGGGCAGAGAGAGAAAAACTTTGTTAACAGTAGTGGTAACAATGACTCAATCTTAACTTTCCTGAAATTAGTAATTTCTCATAGCTTTTTATTTGTGGTATCCACATATTGTTGATGTAAGCTATACTTCAATAAATGGTTAACAAACGGAATTACTATTTTGAAAGGAAAAACCAATAACAAAATATTAGATATCACCCATTACCATCGAGTCCGTTCTAACTCATAGTGATCCTATAGGACAGTGTAGAACACCCCCACAGGGTTTCCAGGTTTGTACAACTTGACAGAGGGAAACGCCAACATTTCCTCCCATAGATTAACTGGAGAGTTCCAACGAACAGCTTTTTGGTTGGTACTGCACCACCAGGGCTCCTTAAATCTTACAGAAAGCGCATCTTTATTGTCTTTTTTTTAAACAGAAATTAAGAAATAAGATATTTCAAGTATCTTAAAGATGTCAGAAATTTTAATTTGATTACAATGTACACAAAATATAAATGATTTTATATTATATCGAGGCATGTAAAAACTAATTTTCAAAGTTCAATATATTATGGCACATAATAAGTCTATTATAATTTCTTACTAAATCAATGAGAATACTCACCCCTTGGAGCCCTTGAAACTGTATTGAAGGCCGAAAAGGAACTAAATTCTAAAAAAAAAAAAGAAGAAAAGAAACAAACACCTGGTTACAATGACAAAGAATGTTGACATTTTGACAGTGCTACATTCTATGAAAATGTCCTTTTAAAATTTATTTACTTTTATACATCATATAAGATGCCTTGATCAACATTATCAATTGTTTAAATTACTCATACTACAAAACTATCTTTTGGCAGTGTGGCCAATGATGGTTTTGGAACAGACATATTTGGCATAAAATGAATAGTAGAATACTTTTGTTTTAAATTAAAAACATATTCTTGCTTATATTTTAATAGATGTGGGAAGAGATTATAGATAATTGGTGGAACTCTGCAAGAACGCTTAACAGGATGATAGAAATAAAAAATGAAGATATTTGAAAATTAACTCTGGTGTTCTATTTCTTACATTTAACCAGAAGTTAAGTTTTAGTTAAGGGTCCAACAGGTTATCAATTTTCTAGAAAGATTCTCATAAGGAAAATACAATCAATAGAATGATGTTTTGTTTGATGAGCTTTGTCCTCTTCCTAATCTCATTATTTTATCGCAGAGTTGTGCACTTTAAAGAAAAGATCTAATTGTAAATATCTGTTAAAGTCTCAGGCACAATTTTCTACACCCAAAGTTCCCTGTCTGTTTCAGAAATTCATGGGGAATCAGATCTAGGCAATGTTTAGTATACATATCAACCAGCCTACCAATTATTCTTCACACATTCATCTCCACACTTAATGTCCAAATAGTTTCTGGTCCTTACAGACATGTGTACCTCCTCCTTAGTCACTGTGCATTACCTATTATTTTCAGTTATTTCCTAATGTTTTTCTGAAGTTTTAAAAGCTTACTACTCAGAATTTAAATTAGAGAGAAAAAACAAAATTACGTGAATTTAGTTTATAAAATTAACTTCAAACATGTACTACTCTAATTTATTTATAAAAATAACTTTTTGGAGAAAGTATCACAATCGATAATAATGCTTGTTACTCTACCGCCATAAAAAGATCGCTTAACTTTAGACTTATGATCAGAATCAAACTACTACTGGACAAATTAATTTCATGGTGTAAGAGAAGCACATTCAAAAAAGCAGGCCTGCAGGATTTCTGGGGAGCCTCTCTTCATGTGCAAGGCAAGGCGGTCCTGCAACTTAGGGAGACAAAGATCTCAGGTGCCAGCTTTTACAACACTATTTCAATGAGCCCTGCCTCCTGAATATCCTGCAAATCACAAGCACAGAGCATCTGATCTGTGCTTACATTCCCTTTCTTGCTTCCTTGTAACCTAAAGGCTGTCCTCAGCTCCCAGGAGGAATCTGAAATACTCTATCAAGTTCATCAATTCTCACTGGTCAAACAAAAGACCAACCTTCCTCAATTTTCAAATTGCTGACATCTGCACCAGACATAGGAGCCCTGGAGGTGCGGTGGACTACACTCTGAGCTGCTAAGTGCAAGGTCAGCAGTTCCAACCCTCCTGCTGCTCTGGCAGAGAAAGATGAAGCTGTCTGCTCCTGTAAAGATTTCAAAGTCTGGGACACCCACAGGGCTGTTCTATTATATTCCATAGTGTTCTATGAGTTGGAATAGGCTCTATGGCAGTGCGTTTGGTTTTAGTGTTCTGGCAGCAGACATTACTTCCGTTTTTGGTCCTCCTATTGCTTTGTTCAGGTTGCTCATTACAAAAGCTAATGCCTTTCCCTTCTTTCTAGTCCACTCCCCCTGGGAGGCCCACAGGGACTGTGTGATGATAACGGAATCTGCTCTCCACTCCTCAGTGCATATCTCTCTACAACCTGCTACTTCCCATTGCCTAAAAGGCATGTTGCGTTAGAAACCCTTGATGACAGTACTGTACCACAAAGCACACTTCAAACTAACAGTCCCGCATCTACACAAAATGGTACCTCTTTCCCACTTTTCTGGCAATAGTAAATGGTACCTCTTTCCCACTTTTCTGGCAATGGTACTTTGGTTCCCCAGGTTTACGAAGTTTGATTTGGGTGCTAATTTAGTCTCATTTCCCCAGTCTCCTACATTTCATTATCAAGTACATGTCACTAGAATCATAGAAAGCTCAATCCAGGAGAGGCGTAGTGGCTTAGCGAATTACCATTTGGGCCATTAATTCAGGGTGAAAGCCACCAGCCACTCCATGGGGCAGAGATAAATAAGGTGTTTACTCCTGTAAAGAGTTACAGTCTTAGAAATCCACAGGGGATCTACTCTGTCTTATAGGGTCGCTGAGTGGGAAACACCTCAATGGCATTGAGACACCCCACCTCCCCCACACACACACCTCCATGTCTCACAGAGCACGGGTCTCACTATGCAGTGACTAGAAAAGTAAGCCCAATATGTAACCACCATGCCACCAGGGTTATTTAAAACCTCTTTAGTGCATTGAAAAGCAAGATATTACTTTGAGGACTAAGGTGTGCCTGATCCAAGCCATGTTTTCAATTGTCTCGTATGCATATGAAAGTTGGTCATTGAGCTGATATCAAGGGCTCAAGTAAAAATAATGTTTTGAAAATGATGATGGTAATATATGTACAAATGTGCTTGACACAATGGATGGATATATGGATTGGGATGAGCTATATGAGACCCCGATAAAATGATTAAAAAAATAAAATAAAATAAAAAAGAAAGTTGGTCATTGAATAAGAAAAACTGAAGAGGAATCAATGCATTTGAACTCTAATATTGGCTAAAAATACTGACAGTATCATGGACTGCCAAAAGAACAAAGAGAACTGTCTTAGAAGAAGTTTGGTCAGAATGCTCCTTAGAGACAAAAGATGGTTAGACTTTGCCTCATGTGCTTTGGACATGTTGTCGGCAGACGTCAGTCCCTGGAGGGGCAGATTAAATGGCTATAACACAGTGGCTATAACAATGGATTCAAACAAGAAATATTGTGAAGATGGGGCAGGACTGGGCAGCGTTTGATGCTATTATGCATGGGGTTGCTATGAGCCCAAACCAAATCTACAGCACCTAGCAACACCACCACCCATGTCCCACCCACAACTGCTATGGGAGATAAAAGAATGTGGGGGCCTAATCCTTCATAGCAGAGTTTATACTCTAGTTGGGGAGAATTTGACAATAATGAAATTCTAAGAGAGGAGAAGAAATGATGCATTCAGACTATGGTGTTGGTGAAAAATGCTGAATATATGATGGACTGTTAGAACGAACAAACCTGAATGTTCTTTAGCAAGGAAAAGGGGGAAGTTGGTTTGCTCACTTTGGGCACACCATCAGGAAATAATCACTCAGTAGAAAAGGCCACCACAGTTAGTCAAGTCCAGGGTCACTGAAGTGAGGGAAACTCTCAGGAGGATGAGTGACACACAGCCAAAGCAGTGGACTCAAGCACACCATGATCATGAAGATGCTGCCGGGCTGGACAGCCCTTCACGCTCTCACACACAAACTCTCCCAAAGTTTGGAAATGATTCAAGGACACTACAGGAACAATAACAAAATACTAACCTGAGTACTAATGGGAGGCACAGTATGAACACTCAAAAAGGAGAATAACACGGAGCGTTAGATTAGATAGGAGGAAAATCAAGGGGCTAATGAATCTTACAGTGGTTTGAAAAGACAACGGGAGCGGGACCTGGTAGCTCCTGCCTGACATCTCCTTGTCCTTATTTGCCATTTTCATCTGCTACAATATAAATGAGGGGTCCCAGTGCTGCAGCAGTTAGGCACCTCACTGCTTTACTTGCAGTTTGAACACACCTAGCCACTATCCTGTATCAAGACCTGGTGCTTTGCTCCTAGGAAGATTACAGCCCAGAAAACCCTATGGAGCAGTTATACTTTGTCACAAGCGGTTGCTCTTAATGAAAAAAAAAAAGCAACAGGAAAGCACCTAACAAAAACAAACAAAATATGTAGGACAGCAATTTAAATTTAGACCTTACAATTTCATGCCTATTCAAAAGGTTTATCACCCTGTCAAAATTAATCGCCACTTCCTTCCAACAGTCCTCTCCCTCCCGATATTTCAAATGGCCTGTTAAGTCTGAATAAACAACTGGGGGTTCTTTACCTTTCTGAGTAAGACTTGACTAATCACACTCTGTTGAATAAAGCAGCTTTCGCAGTCACCTGTAAGCTAGGCAGAGCTAGATGGGCTAAAGAAAAAGATGAGAACAGTTCCCTGGGATGCTTTAGAAATAGGATGAAACTGGCAAGAAAGGCCTAAATTATTAAGACAGCATCTGGAGCAAACAGGAGAAGGTGGAGCCACTAGACATTCCCAAGGAAAATGATGACAAGGAGTGCTGAAGGTTTGAATATCAGACCAAATAAAAATGAAGCAAAGATGGCTCCGGCCCCAGAGCTTCCAGTCATCAACCCCAGCCAGTTTGCCAGAGATGCTCTCAAATTAAGCTTTTAGTTTCTGCTCTGAAAGTCAATGGACCATTTCAGGCCCCTCTCACCTCACACAGATAAGTCCTCGCAGGTACTTCCAAATGCTGCTCATCCTTCATAGAACTAATAGAATCGTTAAAGAAAGCATTACACTCAGGTCATACAGAGGGGTTCCTTTCTACTGTCTTTCTAAACAAAGCAACCTCCTCCATTCAGATATCAGTCCAGATCCTCCAATTTCCTCCCAATTATAGCCCAAGCATGTTAACCTTTGGTACATTTGTTTGGTAAACATTCTTGCCCTCTATTTCTACTACCTACCAGTTTCTTCAACCTGGCATACCTTTCCAAAAACTATTTTGATAATTCATTTGTATAAGATTCATTTCCTCCATTAGATCTCATTTTGACTGAAACTAAGAATTAAAAACTGTCTTCAAGGGACCCGAGGCAGGTAAGTATAGGAACAGGCCAGCTAGAAAACAAGAGGAAGAAGAAAGGGCTTAGAGAATGGCCAACAAAAAGAAAAAGGGCACGTCCATTTACATATATAAATCCTCTTTCTAGTAAAGCAAAACACAGCTGCCACCATTTTGCTAAACCAT